CTCATGCACAAGTTGGGGAGAGGGGCAAAGGCAGAGGAAGAGAGAGAGCAGGAGAGAGGAGCAAAGAGAGTGGGTGAGAGAGTCTTAAGCAGGCTCCATGCTCAGTATGGTGCCCAACTCCAGGCTTGATCCCATAACCCTGGGCTCAATCCCTCAACCCTGGGATCATGACCTGAGCCGAAATCAAGAGTTGGAGGCTCAACTGACTGAGCCCTCCAAGGCACCCCTAAAAGATTTTATTTTTAAGTAATCTCTACACCCAAAGTGGGCCTTCAGCTTACAACCCCGAGATCAAGATCACATGCTCTACCGACTGAGATAGCGAGGCACCTCAAATCAAAATTTTACAAGATGACTCTAGGGCACCTGGGTGGCTCAGGCATTAAGCATCTGACTTCAGCTCAGGTCATGATCTCACAGTTTATGAGCTTGAGCCCCACATCGGATGACCTCAAGCCCTGCTTCAGGTGAGCACAAGCCCCACTTCCGGTAAAAACACAAGCTCCAGGTTTAGGGGAAAAAAAAGGAGCACCTGGGTGGCTCAGTCGGTTAAGTGTCTGGCTTCAGCTTGGGTCACAATCTTGTGGTTCATGGGTTTGAGCCCCACGTCAGGCTCCGTGCTGACAGCTCAGAGCCTGGAGCCTGCTTCAGATTCTGTGTCTCCTCCTCTCTCTGCCCCTCCCATGCTCATGCTCTCTCTCTGCCTCTAATAAATAAACGTTAAAACAACAACAGGGGCGCCTGGGTGGCTCAGTCGGTTAAGTGTCCGACTTCAGCTCAGGTCACGATCTCGCGGTCCGTGAGTTTGAGCCCCGCGTCGGGCTCTGGGCTGATGGCTCAGAGCCTGGAGCCTGCTTCTGATTCTGTGTCTCCCTCTCTCTCTGCCCCTCCCCCGTTCATGCTCTGTCTCTGTCTCAAAAATAAATAAACGTTAAAAAAAATTAAAAAAAAAAAAAGAAAAAACAACAACAACAACAACAACACAAGCTCCAGGTGAGCCCCGTTTCTCTCCCTCTCTCTCTCTCTCTGCCCCTTGCTCACTTTTGTCCTCTCTCCAAAAAACAAAAATAAAAATAAAAAATAAAAGATGACTCTAATAATACAGCAAGTGGTATACCCAAAGTATTTTTTAAAATGTTCTATTTATTTTTGAGAGGGTACGAGTCGGGGGTGGGGGGAGAGGCAGAGAGAGGGGGACAGAACATCCGGGGTGGGCTCTGCACTGACAGCACAGAGCCCGATGTGAGGGTCAAACTCACAAACCGCGAGATTACAACCTGAGCTGAAGATGGACGTGCCACTGACTGAGTCACTCAGGTGCCCCCGAAGTATAACTTCTAAAAGAAAAATAAGGATTGTTTCACATGAAAGCCTATAAATACCACTACTCTTCAGCGGCAAAAAGCTTTTAATTACCAACTTTCCTTCAAGGCAAATAAATTTATCCCTCATAGACTGCTTTAACATCAGAAAGAGAGATCCAGGAAGACATCGAAGGGGGACAGGCAACCCGGATGGCTAGGTGCCATGTATGAACACTTAGCAGTGGGAAGCACATCATGAATCAGACCACATGTTTGGGAAGAATCCTACAGAAGCACCAAAGCCACTATGGACAACAATGGAGACAGTATTTAATCCAAATCAATACGTTATTGCTGAACAAAGATCAGATTTATATCTAGCTATGTGTTGGAATCAATAGAGCTGATTAACTGCCCTGAAAAAGCAATTAACTAACATTCTACCAATTAACTGAGATATGTTTCAAAAGTTAAAAACCACATTGGATTGGAGATGTTTATTTTTTTTTTTTCAACATTTATTTATTTTTGGGACAGAGAGAGACAGAGCATGAAAGGGGGAGGGGCAGAGAGAGAGGGAGACACAGAATCGGAAACAGGCTCCAGGCTCTGAGCCATCAGCCCAGAGCCTGACGCGGGGCTCGAACTCACGGACTGCGAGATCGTGACCTGGCTGAAGTCGGACGCTTAACCGACTGCGCCACCCAGGCGCCCCGGATTGGAGATGTTTAAAGTTCTGACTTAGAAACTACTTCAGGGGGAAGACACCCATAATGTTAGAAAGAAGTCTGCAGTTTACAGAAGTCCAGAAGGATAAATAAGGATAACCATAGTTCATTCCTTTGTTCTGTTTCTATAATTAGTCCAAATAAAATGTGGATCTATCTCGGGGCTCACCTTAAATTGCTCTTCCTATCACAGAACTCATATGAAGTAGGTAACATGGGGAACCATACACTAGGTCGAGTTCTAAAGACACAGAATATGGTAATCAGAATAATTAAAAATGTCAAATATTATCACAAGGCTTATAATTTAAAAAAATAATCAACTGTCTGCCCCACGCCATCCCACCACCAAATTCACCTCTTTTAACTGCTGTTGCATGTGGTGTGTTACACCTACATCATTCCTCTACTGTCAAGATGCACTCTATGTATTCTACACCTGATCCCTTCCGGCACTTCCACAAGTCCAAGTGCCTTCGCCTCCTCTGGCCTTGACTATACTAACCGGTTTCCCTACTTCCATTCTAAACCCCTTTAGTTCATTTGACACAAAACAGCTATTTAAAAAATGAAAAATCAGGGGCGCCTGGGTGGCTCAGTCGGTTAAGCATCCGACTTCGGCTCAGATCATGATCTTGCAGTTTGTGGGTTCAAGTCCTGCATGGGGCTCTGTGCTGACAGCTCAGAGCCTGGAGCCTGCTTCAGATTCTGTGTCTCCCTCTCTCTCTCTGTCCCTCTCCTGCTCATGTTCTGTCCCTCTGTTTCTCAAAAATAAATAAACAGTAAAAAAAAAAAAAAAAAAATCAGATCACACTACTCTATTGTCTAAAATACACCCAGGCTTTAATAAGCATAGAGTAAATTCAAAGCTCCTTTCTACATAATGCAAAGCCCCCACATAATTTGGTTCCTGCCTGTATCTCTGACCACAGTTCCTAAGCTCTCTCTCCCTCGGTCACCATATCTGCTGATGAGAGAAACAAAGGCAAGAGAAATGTAACATAAGTTAAATCTCTTTACAGCTTGCAGCCCCCTGATAGACACCTGAAACCTGCAGAGTGTGACCTTCCTCAAGCAACTCATGGCTGCCTTACTTCCTTAATGTTTTTGTGTTATTAAAGACTAAAAATAAGAGTAGCCTTGTCTTAACAGTAGCTAGCCCCTCAAGGTCCTGAAAGCCTTGGTTTCAAATTCCTTAGAAACTACACTATCCCTAACCCCACTAACTTAAAAGTATATAATCAGTCACTCCTCACAACCCCAGTGCAGCTCTTTCTGCCCACAGGTTCTGTCCTGCTGCTATAATTAAATCACCCCTTTGCACCAAAGAGGCCTCAAGAATTCTTTCTTAGCCGTTTGCTCGAGAACCCCATCATAGCCACAACGGCTTTCCTAATTGTTTCTTGAACGGTCAAGCTCATGCATACCTCAAGGTCTACACTTGCTATTTCCTCCACCTGGAACACTCTTCAGATGTTCTCATGGCTGGCTCCTTTTCATCATATTAGTCACTGTTCAGATGTTATCCCTCAGCGAAGGCTTCCTTCACCATGCCCTACTTAATATATCCCTCGCTCCCATGCCACCATCCCAGTCACATTCCACTTAATAATCCTGGTTCTTTTTTCTTTGTAATGTTTATTTATTTATTTTGAGAGAGAGAGAGAGCGAGCATGTGCATGAGCAGGGGGAGGGGCAGAGAGAGAGGGGAGAGAGAATCCTAAGTAAGCTCTGCTCTGTCAGCACAAAGGCTGATGCAGGGCTTGATCTCATGAACTGTGAGATCATGACTTGAGCAGAAAACAGGAGTCAGACGCTCAACCAACTGAGCCACCCAGGCGCCTCCCTGGTTTATTCTCTGAAGAGAGTAGTATTCTCTGAAGAGCAGTAATCATTATATGACATTAAATTATGTGTTACTTATATGGTTATTGTTTGTCTCTTTTAAGTCATGAAAATTCCATTAAGTTAGCAGCTTTTCCTGACCTACTGCTCATCTCTAGGGCTTCGTTCTATGGCAGCACATATCAGAAGCTCAAAGATATTTGAATTTGTTTCTTAATTTCCTGAGGATCTTAAGTTACTTTGAAATCCTTGTTTAATAAAAAAAAAAAATTCATAATGAAAAATTTCAAACACAAGAGAATAGTATAACAAACTATTATACACAGTTTTAAAAATTGCCTACTTGCAACCAATCTTATTCCAATTATCCCCTCAGCCATTTCATCTCCCACCAGATTATTTTGAAGTAAATCTCAGATAACATTTCATATATAAACACCCAGTCTGTATCTTACAAAAATAAATTCATAGATATATAAATTTTTGCAATATGCAGAATCTTTAAAAATTCACAAAATTCAGGGCCCATCTCCATCTGGGATCTAGCTATCAGAATCTACAGTGAGGCCTAGGCATATGTATTCCTGAAATTTTCTTCAGATATTCTGATTCAGCTAGACTGTAACACAACCAAAGATTGACATCTGGGAATGGTTCTAGAAGAGTCAGAATTGTCGATTACATAAGAACCATCTAAGCAGAGTCACTACAGCTGAAAATACCATTTACAAAACGAAGTTTCTGAGTTAGAACACCAAAAGAATATTAGAATTTAAAAAGAAAAACAGGAGGATGAATACTGAATCGAAGACACCTTACTTGGATACAGAATGTGGCTGATTAAATTCTTCTTCCGCAGCAATGTTGCTCTCTTCAAAGCTGGGAATATCAACTGCTTTTAATGAAGATGAACTACCTGGAGGACTTGTGACTCCATTATTAATATCAACAGAAAAATTCATGTCCTCACTGGAAATCTTTGTATCATCTTGCCTCAGCTGAGATTCAGGCTCTTGACCATCGCCTGCTGCATTCCAAAACAAGCTGGCACCTAGAGGTTAAATGATGAGCCAGATACTGAAACAAATATTTTACTATAAAAATAAACCTCTGACAAACCTCTAAGACTAACTCTATTATTTTAACACTATTACCTAGAAATGTCTTCAGATTATATTTTTTTCAGAAATGCCATAAAGAGATTAGGTGAAAAAACAGAAAACTGGTGCACAAAGGTAAAGGGGACATTCTGGGCCCTCTCTTCAAGATGTGTGGCTCTCAAATGATGTGTTTTACATATTAAGGTTCTGAATATGATTTGGGGTGTATGTATGTGTACTGAAAACTGCTGTTATGAAAAACAAGGGAAAATAATATAAATACAAATTCCTAGGCTCTGTGATTTTTATCCTTAAACACGGTATTTATGAGACTACTCAGGGGCATATCAGGCAAGTATTAAGAATCAAATGTTTCCCAAACTTTATGGAGCATTTGCACAATTATTTGCAGAACTATTTACATTTACTCTTATTGGCTTACTGTTTTTCTTTAAACCAACTCACTTTATTTTTACCTAGCTTTACCATTTCTGTGAAACCACAGATTTGATATGCTGTATTTTTCCAATACTCATAAGAATAAATGTATCTACAAAATATAAAACATTCATCTTTAAACCATCCCAAATTATCTTTTGAATCTGAGTGGTATGCATTCCACAACTTGGGAAATACTGCTATGCATAATGACTTAAAGAAATAGTTAAAATCAACAAGTACATCCAAGTCAAAATGGTTTCTACTTTGAGGGTCAACCTGGGTGATTAAAAAAAAATAAATTAATAAATGAATGATTTAATTTTGTATTCATGAAACATTAAAACCTGCATTAAGAAAGGACAATTATAAAAAAGTTACATGAGTGCTGCTACTCTTCTGGAATATTTATCAATATATACCTTCAGGAAACTAAGTATCATTGTAGAAGAAACATGTTTCTAAAAGTCACTTATTCTAATGATTATTAATAACGCATTTTTCTGCATATAAGTAATAACTACCCTAGACCATCCAAGCTGAATTACTGAATATGAATCTATGCAGTTTCAAAATAATTTCAGAATGTAAGTTTAAACATGTAAATGACTTCATTCAATGATCTTTTATTCAGCACACATGATTCAGGCATCATGTTAACTAATGAGATACAATAGTGAATAAGGTAGTGTTTCAGATCACCAAAGCTTACGGATGAGAAGCAACTGTAATATAGTAAATAGAGAGTTTTATAGGAGCAAACATAGATGTTTGCTATCTATGTACGTTTGGTTGGCTCACGATACCCGCAGCTCCTTGTCCACCACCCCTCTACATTACACACACACACACACTTTCTCTGGGGACTACCACCCCTGCAATTAACAAAGGTAGGACTCCAAAAGACATGTTCCTATTATGTGCTTCTCACCCCCCCTTACCGCTGAACCAGGAATTAAACCCTAATCCAAACTAGGCCATTCAGGTTCTCTGCAATTTGAAACAAGACTGAAGACAGTAACCTGGTTTGTGTAACACATACCCTTTGGAGCTTTGGGTGAGCTGTATTTTAAGATGCAAAGCAGTGAAGAAAGAATGAGTAAATCAGCCACGCACAATAGTTGAACAGTCCTAATGGTATTCCAGTTTCCAGTTCTAGTTTTTTCCTGAAGTCCAGCCCCATTCTTGGCCTTGGTTTTCATGAAACATCCTCATATCCTTCCAGTAAATTCCCCTTCCTTGCTTAAATTATTTCAAAGTGGTTTATATTACTTGCAGCCAAAGAATCTTGACTAATATTCAGTAATAATTGACTTACTGTACATGAGGTTCTTGCTCCCCTCCCTCCGTGCTCCCCTCCACGTGGATAGTTAACAAATGGGTTCAGAAATAGAATACAGAAATCTGCCTTCTTTCTTTTTTCTCCCTCTCAAATCTTTACTTTCCAGCTCAAATCTCCATCTGCTACTTTTCCAAGTCTTAGGTCATCAGCTCACCTCCACTCTTCTGATGTTTGAGTATCACCATCTTCATTTCCAAAAGCTGCTCAAATGCAACAGATATTTACACTGAACTCATCCTCTCTTCCCTGCTTCCCTAGGTCATCTAGGCTGAAAATCCTAGGATAACTTTTATTTTCATCTTTAATAAACTTTCAATGTTAGAATAGGTCTAGATTGATAGAGATGATAATACAGAGTTCCTGTACACTCTCCTCACCCAGTTTCCCCTGTGCCATCTTATGGCACACTTTTCAAAATCAAGAAACCAACGTTGATGCATGACAAAAATCTCCAGATTTTATTTGAATTTCACCAATTTTTCCACTAATGTCCTTTTTCTGTTCCAGGATCCAAACCAGGGTATTACACTGCAATTAGCAGGAGTACTTTTGAATCCTACACCTCCTCCAACTGCCACATCCAATTAGTTACCAAATCTTATTAACACCCTGCACAACTCTTTCTCTTCATTATTGTCACCATCACTCTATGTACTAATAGGCATCTTGCTAGATCTTGGGGACATTCTTGAAGACATTCTTAAAGATCTCAAAGGGTCTGGTGATGAGCAAACATGCAAGCAAACAAATATACATCATTTACATTATTAATTGATTTTTTAAAAAGACCTTCAATGATGCATACCAAATAAAGGAGACTTTCCTTTTTAAAAGATGTAATAAAGGCTCTCCATAAAATATTACAGTACTAGACAATTCAGAGCCTGTGTTTTCTCACTGTGCCCATACTATTTTCTCTACCCACCCTATTCTGCCATCTCTCAATTCCACCTACTAAAATCCTACATACCCTTCAAGGCCCAGAGTCAGTAACACCGCATAGATGAAAAAAACTTTCCCTGATCCCTCAAACCACAGATGATTTTTCTTACAAGAATTGGGTCCAGCCTAGGAATGTATCAAATACTATGTATGATGTCATGTGGTTTCACATTTGTTTTCAAATACAGTTCTCTTTCATGAAGAGTAAAATTACACAAAGACTTAAGTGATACTCTCATCACCCTGGTTTTGGTTCTATTTGTACCATGCACCAATTTCAACATCAAAATTTTAAAAGTAGATATGAAAAGCATTTTTTAAAATTCCTTCCAAATAAAAAAAACAATTACCTGTGCTCACAGCAATGCTCACACTTTTTCTCATGTGCAAGCCAGGAGAAGACTGTGCTTCCATGGAAACCAGCTCCATCTGTCTTGCTGCTTGTGCCGTGTTTTCAACAGAGGTTGTCTTAGGGGAACAGGGCTGCAGAGACTGTGCCTCCAATAAACGCTGAATCTGTATCAATTAACAACATATTTTAAACTGGCCATGGAAGGAATCACCAAATTGCAGTGGAGTTTAAAAATGAATTACAAAGTGTCCCAATTACAAATAGGTGGCTTTTAACTAGATTTTTTTTCACATTTCAGTCAGATCATACCATAAAACTTATTCAATGCAGAAATCACTATCCTTCATTATTAAGACCCACTTAAGTGGGCTAAATGTAAATTTTATTTTATTTTACTATCTATCTATCTATCTATCTATCTATCTATCTATTTATTTATTTATTTATTTATTTTAGTTTTTGAGAGTGAGTGTGAGCAAGCAGGGCAGGGGCAGAAGGAACAGGAGAGAATCTTAAGCAGGCCCCACTCCTAGCGAGGAGCCCAACATGGGGCTCGATCTCATGACCATGAGGATCATGCCTTGACCCAAAATCAAGGGTTGGACACTCAACCAACTGAGCCACTCAGGCACACTTTTATTATTTCTTTTAAAGTAAACTCCAGGCCCAATGTGGGGCTTAAACTTATAACCCCAAGATCAAGAGTTGCATGCTCTACTGACTGAGCCAGCCAGGTGTCCCATGGCTAAGCATAAATTTAAAAGTGAAACACAGGGGCACCTGGCTGGCTCAGTTGGAAGAGCATGTGTCTCTTGATCTCGGGGTTGTGAGTTCAAGCCCCATGCTGGGTGCAGAGATTACTTAAAAAAAAAAAAAAAAATTAATAAACCAAAAAAAGTAAAAACATGAAGGTATTTAGATTGACATTCATAACTTTAAACTTGTGTAAAAAAGCCTAAATGTTAGCACTTCAAATAAATATTTCAAGAGTGCCTGGTTCGCTTAGTCAATTGAGGGTCCAGCTTCGGCTCAGGTCGTGATCTCATGGTTCATGAGTTCAAGTCCTGCATCAGGCTCTGTGCTGACAGCTCGGAGCCTGGAGCCTGCTTCGGATTCTGGGTCTCCCTCTCCCTCTGCCCCTCCCCCACTCTTTCACTATCTCAAAAATAAACATTTAAATAAATAAATAATAAAAATTTCATTCCCATTCCACCTACAAATCAAAAGTAAGATAAGAGCTACACTTAACCAAATATTCAACATTTTTACACAAGGTTCTTCTTATAAAGGTTAACCAGAATAGCCCATGTTTGGCTGTGCTAAACTGGAATTATTAGTTTTTTTTAATGTTTATTTATTTTTGAGAGAGTGCAAGGGGGAAGAGGCAGAAAGAGAGGGAACAGAGGATCCAAAGCAGGCTGTGCACTGCCAACAGCAAGCCCAACGCGGGGCTCGAACCCACGAACTGCGAGACCATGACCTGAGCCAAAGTTGGAGGCTCAACAGACTGAGCCACTCAAGCACCTCACAACTGAAATTATTAATAACAGTAGTGAATACTTACTGTTCCCTGTTTACAAGATACTGTATGAAGAGTGTTTATGTACAATTAATACAACCATCCCATGAAGAGTGTACTATTTTTTAAATGACATTTTTTTTTTAAGTTTATTTATTTTGAGAGAGAGAGTGCTCACATGAGCAGGGGAAGGGCAGAGAGAAAAGGAAAAAGAGAATCCCAAAGAGGCTCCACACTGTCAGCACAGAACCCAACACAGGGCTCGAATTCTCGAACCATGAGATCATGACTTGAGCTGAAACCAAGAGTTGGACACTTAACTGACTGAGCCACCCAGGTGCCCCAAGAACGTACTACTATTTTAAGTTTACTTATTTTGAGAGAGACAAAGACAGCACAAGTGGGGGAGAGGCAGAGAGACAAGCCTGACACAGGGCTCAAACCCACAAAACTGTGAGATCACAACCTGGGCCGAAATCAAGAGTCGGATGCTTAACTGAGCCACCCATGCATCTCAAGAACGTGCTACTATTAAACACACTTTACAGATAAGAAAACTTGAGAAATTAAAAATAAAGTCACTTGCCCAGAACATGTAACTAATAAGTAGCAATGCTAAGGTTCAAACACCAAGTTTTCTTTACTCCTTTTAAAACTGAAATAGAATTCACATACCATTTAAAACTCATCCCTTTAAAGTATACAATTCAGTATTTTTTAGTAAAGCCACCACAAGTTTGCAACCATCACCACCATCTAATTCTAACTCTGTAACCATTAGCAGTCACTCTCTATTGCCCATCCCTAGCCTCTGGCAACCACTAATTTACTTTCTGTCTCCACATATTTGCCTATTCTAAACATTTGATATAAATGAAACCACATAATATGTGGCCTTGTATTTTGCTTCTTTTACTTAGTATAACATTTTCAAAGTTCATCCATGTTGTTGTATCTACCAATACTTTGTGGCTGAATAATATTCTGTGTGTGGATATGTCACAGTGTGTTTATCCATTCATCAGTTGATGGGCATTGAGTTGCTTTCACTTTTAGCTATTATAATGTTACTATGAACAACATTTGTATATAAGATTTTATGTGCTCATATTTTTTCATTTCTCTTGGGTATATACTTAGGAATGGAAGAGCCTCACTTTTTAAACACTGTGATTTTCTACTTCCCTGTAAATTACACTAATGTGTTTAATTCGTCTCACTTATTTCAGCAAATTAACTTTACTAATATAAGAAAATATAAGTTATCCACAAATTATCAAGATAGGTAGAAATACAGCCTGCATTAATAATACAAAATAGCCTATGTACTTATAGTGGTTTGTAGCATGGACTTTGGTGTCATGATGTAAGTTTAAATCCTACTCTGCTACCTTTTGGATAAGCTATTTAACCACTATGAGCTTCAATATCACCTAAAGCTAAAGTAGTCGTAAGGATTTAGAGACAAATAAAATAGTTGTAACTTTTTGATTGCTGACTACAGTCAGGTCCTACACTAACCACTTGATACACGTACATACACACATACACACACATAAACTCATTTAACCATCAAATCTACATGTAATAGCAATCACTGCTCCCAATTCACAGATGAGAAGAGTGAGGTTTAGAGAAATCACACAAGAAACACTTGATAATAAAGCTATAGTGATTAACTAAATAGTACTGGTGCTGGAATAGACAGGCAAATCAATGGAGAATATGGTACAGAAATAGATACAAATACATGGTACTTCTATTATAAAAAAATATATCTCCAATCATTAACAAAAGATCCATTATTCAATAAATATATGAGGCCAGTTATCTGATTATTAAAAAGGGAAAAACCTCTTATCTCACATATCAAAATAAAGCAAAAAATATAATTCTGAAGGGGGAGAGAAGATGAAGAATATAGTTTTTACAATCTGGAAGAGAAAAGGGCTTTCTAAACATAATTAACACCCAAAAAGAAAATGATAAATCTAATTATATCTAAACTGGAATATTCTGTACAAACAAATGGTTAAAACACAAAACATTTAACATAAACTGTAAGAAATGCTTACCACATACATATGATAAAAAATCAATTTCCTCAATATACAATGAGCTCTTTAAAATTTAATTAGAAAAAAAACTAAAATGGGTAAATGACAGACTTTATACAAAGAAAAAATAGCCAATAAATAATAAAATGATCAATCTTGATTATAATAATATAGTGCAAATTAAAACAATTTCTACTTATGACTGATACTCATTTTTTATTTAAGAGAGAGCGTGCGAGCAGGGGAAAGGGGTGAAAAGAGAGAAAGAAAGAGAGAAAGGGAGAATCTCAAGCTGAAACATTTAGCTACATTAAAATTTCTGCCAAATATCTGTAAGGGTTTATAAAAATCAAGCTTATATTCTACAATTTCAGAGAATTTACCTAGGTTTAAAAAACAGCAAAACTACATTTTTTTTTTTTTTTTTTTTTAAATTTTTTTTTTCAACGTTTATCCATTTTTGGGACAGAGAGAGACAGAGCATGAACGGGGGAGGGGCAGAGAGAGAGGGAGACACAGAATCGGAAACAGGCTCCAGGCTCTGAGCCATCAGCCCAGAGCCCGACGCGGGGCTCGAACTCCCGGACCGCGAGATCGTGACCTGGCTGAAGTCGGACGCTTAACCGACTGCGCCACCCAGGCGCCCCAAAACTACATTTTTCTCAAGTGTCTCATCTATACCATTTTTAAGCAGCATTTTTATTTATTTATATTTTATTTATTTTAAATACTTTGAGAGAGAGAGAGCACACGCACAAGCATGCAAGGGGGGGAAAGGACAGAGAGAGAGAGAGAGAGAGAGAGAGAGAGAGAAAGAGAGAACGAACCCCAAGCAGGCTCCACACTGCCAGAATGGAGCCCAACACAGGGCTTGGCCTCAGAAATGAAAGATCATGAACTGAGCCAAAATCAAGAGTCTTTTAACCAGCTCAGCCACCCAGACACCCCTATTTATATATTTATTTTTAAGTTTACTATTCTAAGTAATCTCTACACCCAATGTGGGGCATGAACTCATGACCCTGAAATCAAGAGTCCCATGCTCTTCTGACTGAGTTAGCCAGGTATCCTTAAGCAGAATTTTTTATATATCATTACCTTTTTTTATTTTTGCAAAATGCAAAACAACTTTACAAAACAAAGATGTTAAAAAATCATACATGCATATAATGCCGATTATACATATATTTGCACAGTTATAGGATGATGGAAGAAGTATAGAAGAATATATTTCAGGTTGTTTTCATTCATACTCATGGGAACGGGAAGGAAGATGGTAGGGGATTTGGGGTACGTATGTGGAAGAAAGGTGCCAGTAAGGAAAGGAAAAAAAAAAAAAAAACAGCACAAGACTGAATGGTGTAGAATATAATTAAAAGACTAAAAACTGCCATAAATGCCTGAAGAAAGGAAGCATTTCATAATATAATGAATGAAATCCATCTAGTATAGATACACAGAAGATGTTCCGGAACTACTCTTAAAAGGTACACTGGCTGAAACTTATTAAACATACTACAGGGTTGACAAGTTAGAGACGCATCAGAATCCATTATGCAGGCTTTATATCTAGTGGTATACCAAGGTCTAGTAAATTACATAGACTTTCTGTTAGAGGCAACAAATGAAAAGAAAAATGCAGTTATATTGCAGGTTAGGATACACACCAGGCAGAGAAGAAAGGCCTGCTTTCTACTCCTGGTTCTACTCCTAACTAGCAATGTGTCATTGGCTAAAGTATACTCTCTCTAATCCCTTTTGCATTTATCTGTAAAACAAGAACTAGAATCCACTTTCCAAGTTTCCTTCTAGTTCTGATATTCTACAATTTTTTTTAATGTTTATTTATTTTGAAAGACAGAGAGAGCAAGCAGGGGAGGGGCAAAGAGAGAGAAGAAAGAGAATTTCAAGCAGGCTCTGAGCCATCAGCACAGACCCCAATGGGGGGCTCTAAGTTAGTTACGAATCAGGAGACTGACCTGAGCAGAAATCAAGAGTCAGACACTCAACCAATGGAGCCACCTGGACACCCCTGATATTCTACAGTTTTACTCCATAAAATGTAATTACTGAAGAATTGCCAGTTATTTTTAAGTAAAAATATTAATACCAAGAACTTAGAAGAAGTAAGAAAGCTTGCAAACCTGTGCCTGAAGCAGTCTCAGCTGTCTGTCCTGTTCTGTGAGGAACCTATATGCATCCGGAGACAGTCCCATCATTCCATTATCTGGCCCGGTCTTGGGTGTGTGTGTGCACACTGCACAGGGCCGTGAGTTACATGCGTCCACGTGTGAAGGCAGTCTTGCCACAGGCGATGGTTCTACAGTGCTGTGGGGAGGGCAACCACCCGTGCTTCCCTGGGGTCTCGAGGCTATAGGACTACTTGAAGCACAGAATGCATTAGAGTACAGAACTGGATATCCACCTGGGTGAAATAACGAATGTTTGTGAAGGGCTTCAGACTGGAGGTCTTGAATGGACCCTACTGTATTCATTCCTTGCCAAGAATTTACTGGACTATACTGAATATGGCCATGATGCTGACAACAACTGCAGACATTTGTAGAGTAGTAAGATGGTGGTGGTGGAGTAGGTATCTGAAGTTCCATTGGTCTTCCTGAATTACAGGATGAAAAAACAAAATTGTGTGGGTGGGACTGTGAGGCAAGAGAAGACTGCTTGGAATTACATGTGGAGGATCCTATAAGATATTCTTCTTTGTGTAAATTTGTATCAGGAGATGGCCCATTAAGAGAAGATGGTTTACCACTGTTCCTGTTATGGGGGTTCCCTTTTTTACAGGTAGATGATTGTCTTACTTTGCCATGTCTTAAAGGAACAGTGCTCTGGGTTAACTGATTTGGTAACCCTCTCAAGGAAGGCTCTCCAGCTTTAGCTTCGAGGCTGTGTTCGTCATCGTAAAGCTGGGGTTGCAATGGATCCAAGTGTTCAGAGTGGTTAATCAACAAAGAAGGGTTTTCATTATTCACCATTTCCAATGGCTTAGGGAGAGGATTTGATTCTAAGAAATTGCCATCCAACACAAGCGAAAGTTCAGGAACTGATGGTTGGATCTTAGAAACCTATAAATGGGAAAGAAATGAAAGAGGGAAAGTATTTTTTAGGATGCCTCACTTTCTTCACACTAATATTTTCCAAATTATATCCAGTTACTTATTAAAAAGTGTTTATTCTTTATTTAGACAGTTGACACATATTTTCTGGGCATCTTCTACGTGCCAGCACTAGGAATGTAACTGTGAGGAAAATAAACAAGGTCCCTGCCCTAACAAACTTACTTAACAATGGAATTCCTTTTATTGGAACACTGATTATTGTTGCTTAAATCACATAACACAATATGGGAAACTGTTTTATAATAGACTTTTTTTTACCCTCTCCCCGTAAAAAAAATTATCGCTGGCAGAATGCTTTAATAGATCTAGTAGCAAATAATGTTTCTGTATCTTAGGTAATAAAAGATCTTTCAATAAATATTTCAGAATATTTTTCTACTAAGTAAAATTATTCACTGTTCTTCTTTTTATCAATACCAACTAGTAATTGGAAGAGCAGAAAAAAGTAAACAATACTCGCTGTGGTAAATTTGGTTATAATTTGATAGTAATTTTTAAAAATCTTTCCCATTCCTGGGGCACCTGGATGGCTGTTGGTTAAGTGTCCAACTCTCTCTCTTTTTTTTTAATGTTTGAATGTTTAGTTATTTATTATTATTATTTTTTAATGATTTTTTTTAATGTTTATTTTTGAGACAGAGACAGAGCATGAACGGGGAAGGGCCAGAGAGAGGGAGACAGAATCTGAAACAGGTTCCAGGCTCTGAGCTGTCAGCACAGAGCCCGACGTGGGGCTTGAACTCACAGACTGCGAGATCATGACCTGAGCCGAAGTCGGCCGCTTAACCGACTGAGCCACCCAGGCGCCCCTATTTATTATTCTTAAAATCATGTTCATTTATTTGTTCTTGAGAGAAAGAGACAGAGTGCACAAGGTGGAGAGGGTCAGAGAGAGAGGGAGACACAGAATGTGAAGCAGGCTCCAGGCTCCAACCTGTCAGTGCAGAGCCTGATGCGGGGCTCGAGCCCACAAACCATGAGATCATGATCCAAGCCAAAGTCGGATGTTTAACTGACTGAGCCACCCAGGCGCCCCTAATGTTTATTTATTTTTTATAAAGAGAGAGAGAGAGAGAGAGAGAGAGCGCACGCATGAGCAGGGGAGGGCAGGGAGACAGGGAGACACAGAATCCAAAGCAGGCTCCAGGTTCTGAGCTGTCCACACAGAGTCCCACATGGGGCTTGAACTAACGAACCATGAGATCATAACCTGAGCCAAAGTCAGTGTCTTAACTGATTGAGCCCATCCTGGCGCTCCCGACTTTTTTTCGCCTCAGGTCAAGATCACAGAGTTCATGGGATCCAGCCCTACGTCGGGCTCTGCACGGATAGTGCAGGGCCTGCTTGGGATTCTCTCTCTCCCTTTCTTTCTGTCCCTCACCTACTTTCTTCTAGTAAGTAATTAGTCCAATTAAGGCACAACAATTCTACAATCAAAAAATTATGACAGATTAGCAATCTCCAAAATCAAGTATCATGTTTTCTCAGATTTGGTTAATAAGAATCACTGTCAAGTTCTGGTGGTAGTACAGAATGTTGAGTCTACATGGGTTTTTTTAAAAGCACCAGGTTCTGAAACCAAACCTCCTGAACTACTAGCTTTACTGAATTCCAATTTTACTACTTACTAGTTGTTTAATACTGGGCAGGTACTTAACCAATCTGTGCCTCAGTATTCTCTGGAAGTAGTAATAAAAAGTACTTATTACAATATGTACACACATATGTATATATATCGCATACAATAATTACATATACTTGTGAGAAATATCTGTATCTATATATATAGATATAGCCACATTGATATATAGCTAGATACATCTTAGAATAAAAATTGAATAAGCTTCAGGTAATATTATTGAATGCTTTAACATGAAGAGATTTTCGGTTTCTAAACAATAGGTGGGTTCTTTATAAGATCAGTGATACCTTCTGACTCACAGGATGAGGACTAGGAATTGGTCTTGGAGAAAAATCTTCATCTTCAACACCAGAGTCATGATCATTTATTGGCATTTTCCCTGGAGATAACTTTTGGGAAGACCTAAAAAATAGAAGGGAATAAAGAAAAGTCTTCAGTAATCTTATTTGTTCATTTGTTCTTTCTTTTTGAAAGTGAATAAAGTCCTTTAATAAACCAGAGTAGTATCTGGATCATTTAATTTAGTATTTGACAACCATAAATTATTTTTTTTCGGGCCAGTGTTAGCTGCCTAGGAAAGCTGGTGCAGTCAGATTCATGCTTAATAAACTACCTCTCTTTGCCTGATCGCGGGAAGTTTACAAAATATCAGGGGCACCTGGGTGGCTCAGTCAGTTACACATCCGACTTCAGCTCAGGTCATGATCTCACAGTCTGTGAGTTTGAGCCCCGTGTAGGGCTCTGTGCGGACAGCTCAGAGCCTGGAGCCTGCTTTGGATTCTGTGTCTCCCTCTCTCTCTGCCCCTCCCCTGCTGGCACTCTGTCTCTCTCAAAAATAAATAAACATTAAAAAATTTTTAAAAATATATATGTATCAACAGTTACTGAGCATCTTCCAATTAACACTTTGAGGAATGTAGTTATAAATAAGGCATAGGGCTTGCCATAGCAAAACTTTAGGGGTGCCTGGGTGGCTCAATTGGTTGAGCATCTGATTCTTGGTTTTGATTCAGGTCATGATCTCAGGGTCGTGGGACTGAGCCCCTTGTCAGGCTCGGTGCTGAGTGTGGCACCTGCTTGAAATTCTTTGTCCTTCTCCTGTGCACGTGTGCACAGTCTCTCTCTCAAATTAAAAAAAGAATTATAATCTGGTGACAGAGCTATACATTCACTGCATTAAACACTGTGTTAAAAAGGGAACTTAAGAGAGAACTACTACACTTTCCTGTGCACTGATAGCTGTGATGGGAGAGCTTGGAGACATTAACTGAGGTGCCTCCTCCTACTGAGTCAGTTGTAGTCATTGGGTCACAGCTGCCTGCTCCAATAGAACACAGACACGATTTTGAGTACTGAGTTTCAAAAGCCAAAATTAGAGTTTAAAATTAAATTTGGAAGACTATATGCATCAGATTTTTTTGCATCCTAGATAAAGTCTCAATAGGATGAGTTCAGGGAAGAGAAAAGCCAGAAGGAAGCTAAAAGAGCATAGACATTGATGGAATCCCTAGAAAGTGTCCTACATCCTGTCTCTCTGGTCAGGGAGCACAAAGAAGCTCCCAGGTAGGAGGTGTGACAGCAGAAGAGACCTTTGCCTAAACCCTGGTGGTCTGGAGAAGCAAACACAGAGTTCTTTCTGCACCAAGGTGCTGCAATGAAACAATCCGAATGTCTGCATGGTGTGTTTAAGCAGTAGGGTCTGCACTCAGTCCCATAAAGTTCTCCCCCTACACCCAAGAAGGACATGGAGAATATTATTGTATCCCCTGTGCCTCAGGGTAGCACAGACATGACAGACAACCAACGACCTGACTAGAGTAAGGAGGTCACAGCAGAAGCCTGCACAAACCTACTGCCAAAGACCAGACGCAAATGAAAACATCTCAGCAGATGGCAGCTTGGATGGATGATAATCATGTCACCCCAGGACACTACTACTGGCACAGCATTAATTCCTCCAAATTGCATATAACCTCAGAGGAAAGAAGACAAACAGAACTTGAATTACTGAAATTTGGTTTCTATAACCAATTGGGTGGTCAAATTAGAAATTAAGTTCAATTACTTTTAAAAAGAAAAAAGTTAACATTTTTTGAACACCTGAGTTTGTGGCAAGGAATTAATATTTGCTACATATTTACTTGTGGTAACACAAACATGTAAACACACATAAAATTTCTGACATTCAGCAATAAAATCCATTTCTGAGCTTTTGTAGGACCCAAGGCAAAAAGAAAAAACTTTATGTTGTATAACTATAACATCAGTTCTTTAGGTGAGATGAACATTTTCCTAAAATCTAAAAATGATCATTCCTAAAGCTCTGATCAGAGTTGAAAACTGGCAACATTTTCAAAAACAATGTTAAAGAAATTGGGGCACTGGGGTGGCTCAGTCTGTTAAGTGTCCGACTTCAGCTCCAGTCACGATCTCATGGTTTGTGAATTTGAGCCCCGCATGGGGCTCTGCTCCGACAGCTCAGACCCTGAAGCCTGCTTCAGATTCTGTCTCCCCCTCTCTGTGTGTCCCTCCCCCACTTATGCTGTCAATCTCTCTTTCAAAAGTAAGTAAATAATTTTAAGAAAAAAATGAAGAAAAAAAAAAAAGAAATTATAAGTGTCTCCTAAATTTGGCTTTTTCTTCCATAAATAATCCATAAAATCTTGAATAAAGACTTCAAAAGACAGTGATGGTATTCCTGAAAACCTGTAGGAACATAGGTTTCCGGTGATCTAACCTATTCCCAGGATAAGTTAAAATGCCCAAAGACGGAGAGAGCACACCTCGGGTATCTGTCTAATCTTCAAAACCTGTAACTATGTTTACCGCACTTGGGAAAAGGAAGTTTGCAGATGTGATTAAGTTAAGGATCTTGAGATATGGAGATTATCCTAGATTACCCAGGTAGGCTCAATGTAATCACAAGGGCCCTTATACAATGGAGGCAAATGGGTCAGAGTCAGAGAAGAAGATGTGAGGATAGAATAAGTCAGACAGAGATCTGAAGATGCTATACTGCTAACTTTGAAGACAGAGTAAGGGGCCACCAGACAAGTGATGCACATGGCCTCTGGAAGGTGGAAAAGGGAATAAGATGGATTCTCTACTAAAGCTTCCAGAAGGAATGCAGCCCTCTCACCACTTTGACTTTAGCCTCAAAGACCATTTCAGACTTGTGACCTTCCAAACTGGAAAATAATAAATCTGTATTGTTTTTAAGTTGGAAGTTTGTGGTAATTTCTTACAGCAGCAAACAGAAACTAATACAGATTCAGTCATAATTCCCATTTTACAGATGGAATAATGATGTATAGAACCAGGACTTGAATGCAGATGTCTTATACCATAAACTGAGCTCACAACTATTATGTTGTGACCTCTATAAATAATTGGTATAGTTGGCATTTATTTTAAAATCATATCATAGTTAATTTCCACCTACAGAATCAAGTGATAAATGAATCCTATAAAAAAAATCAAGCCATTTTCTCAATCACCGCAATAACCTATAATGAACCTTACACCTCCTGTTTTGCATGCAAGATACTAAACAGTATTATAAAGGGACCCAAAGACAGGTTAAGGTTATATTCAAAACATTGAGAAAAGGACAAATTAACCACTAAGGCAAGTTAAAATAACATTTGTAGGAGTATCTGGCTGGCTCAGTCAGTAGAGCATGTGACTCCAGTAATATGGAGAACATTCAACACTTCATCACTGGACTATAAATTTCACGAGGGAAGAAATCATGTCTGTATCTGTTTTTAATACCACCATGTCTCTAGTCTTTAGCACATTACCTGGCATACAGGAGAATACATAAGGAAGCTGGGATAGGGATATGAAGGGTTAATTTTATGTGTCAACTTGGCTAGGCCGCAATAACCAGATATTTGGTCAATCGTTATTATAGATGTTTGTGTGAAGTTACTTTTAGACGAGATTAACATTAAAGTCAGTAGACTCCAAGTAAAGCAAATGATCCTCCAAAATGTAGACAGGCCTCATCCAGTCAGCTGATGGCTTTAATAGAACAAAGAACGACCCCCTGCAAGAAGAGGGAATTCTGCTGGCAGATTTGGACTCTAAATGCAACTCTTCTCAGCCTCTACAACTGCAGGAACCAATTCCATAAAACAAAGCTTTCTCTCTCTCCCTCCCTCTCTCTCTCTCTCTCTCTCCATCCTGTTGGTTTTTTCTGGAGAACCCTAATACAATGGAGTATCTTTTTTTTTACCGGGACAAGTATATACTGACCCAAAAAATCACAGCCAGTATTCACTTAATACTCCCCAAGAGCATTTTCTTTTTTAGGTAGAGAAGTTTTTTTACCACAGTTTCTCGGATAGACCCAAGTTTAAAACTACAAGTCAGAGAAGAACAAACAGAAGGCAAACTAAACAAAAACAGAAGCTTCTTCCTAAGCAAGATAATTTCTTGACACTTCCTGCCCCTATGTAATAAAGCAACTCAAATGACAACTACATTAAAGTTGTCACTTCATCCGAGTATGAAGTAATGCATGGACATCTTATGATAGAAGATAATACAATCAGTTTCATCAGATTAGGGAGTTACTTTCATTACTCATTAAAGCTAATGAATATAATAAAAAAAAGTACACATGAAAATAGTATCTTTTACCTTTTAATTGAAAGATTCTTGGAAACTTTGTTGAAAAACTCTGTTTCTGCATTTTGGCTTTCAGCAGTCAGTTCAAAATGGATTGACTTTTTATCAGAAGGTTCAACATTCTGAAATAAAGAAGGGCATACTTGGAGAGCTGACTTAAATAGAAACAACAGAGAATTCTATTTAGATGAAAAGTAGCTCTGAGGGGCACCTGGGTGGCTGTCGGCTAAGCCTCTGACTTGATTTCAGCTCAGGTCATGGTTCGTGGGTTCAAGCCCTGAGTCAGGCTCTGTGCTGATGGCACAGAGCCTTCTTGGGATTCTCTCTCTCTCTCTCTCTCTCTCTCTCTCTGTCCCTCCCCCACTCCTACTTTTATGCTCACTTGCTTTCTCAAAATGAATGAATGAATGAATGAATGAATGAAAAGTAGCTCTGAAACAACGGGAAGTAGGAGACTTATTTCTATTACTGTAACCTTTTTTTTTTAAATGTATTTTTTTTTAATTTTTTTTAACGTTTATTTATTTTTGAGACAGAGAGAGACAGAGCATGAACGGGGGAGGGGCAGAGAGAGAGGGAGACACAGAACCGGAAGCAGGCTCCAGGCTCTGAGCCATCAGCCCAGAGCCCGACGCGGGGCTCGAACTCACGGACCGTGAGATCGTGACCTGAGCTGAAGTCGGATGCTTAACCGACTGAGCCACCCAGGTGCCCCCTACTGTATACCTTTTTAAAAAAATTGTTTTTAAAATTGAGATATAACAGACGCGTCACATTAGTTTCAGGCATACAACATGATTTGATATTTGTATATACTGCAAAATGCTCACAATAAGTCTAGTTAACATCCATTACCGTACAAAGTTATAATTCTTTTTCCTTGTGCTGAGAACTTTCTTTTTTTTAAGTGTTTATTTTTGAGAGAGAGAGAAAGAAAGAGTGTGTGCAAGGGGCAGAGAGGGAGACAAAGGATCTGAAGCAGGCTCTGTGCTGACAGCACAGAGTCTAGTGCAGGGTTCAAACTCACAAACTGTGAGATCATGACCTGAGCCAAAGTCGGATGCTTAACCAACTGAGCCACCCAGGTGTCCCGCTTTTGCTGAGAACTT